AACCCCTCTCTCTCTCTGTTTCCAGATGTCCAGGCGCTGCTTCTCACTGATATCCTGGTGCTGCTGCAGAAGCAGGATGACAAGATGGTCCTGAAATGTCAGAGCAAGAGCACCACTGGAGTCCAGGAGGGGAAGCAGATGCTCAGTCCCATCATCAAACTGGGCTCTGTCTTCCTCAGGGATGTGGCTACTGGTGAGGACCCTGTGGCTGACCAGTAACCCTCCTGACCCTGACCTTTACAACCTGAACTGTAAACCCCAACACTGACCAACAACAAAACCCACTACTGTCCCCAACACTCACCACCAATTAACCCTACTATTGACCCTAACACTGACCATCAACAACCCTACTACTGTCCCCAACACTGACCACCAACTAGCTCTACTACTGACCAAACACTGACCAGAACTAATCCCTCAGCTGACCCTGATACTGGGCGTTGTACTAACTAGTACTGACCTTGACAGTGACTCCTGACCCCTCCTAGATGTTCTGGGGAAGAGGTGAAAACTTCCCCAGAACATCTAGGACTGACCCCAAGTGTGACCACTGGGGCTTACCTGTGACGAAGCTCATTCCTGATGACGTCTCCAGCGGTGACGCACTGACCCCTTGACCTCATCACTGACCCCTGGAACTGACCTGGACACTGAATCTGGGCTCCGGCTGCTCAGGAGGTTCCTGCCCTGAGGACTGACCCTTCTGATCCTCTGCTCTCTGTCCCCCAGACCGCAAGGCCTTCTACGTTATCTTCACCTGGGACAGTGGGGCTCAGATCTACGAGCTGGTGGCCCAGACCGTGTCGGAGATGAAGAAGTAAGATTCAGGTCTCTCTGGCAGGCTGGCTGTGCACTCGGACACTCGCAGAGAGACCAGGGGACAGATGGGATGGACAGGGGGACAGGGAGGGGAGATGGATGGAGGGGGGACAGGGGGACAGGAAGGGGGTGGGGCTCTATTATTTCACTGTTGTCTTCAGTATGTCTCTCTACAGGAGCCACGCTGTGTCTTTATCAGTCTCTGTCTCTCTCCCTCAGCTGGACAGAGCTGATTACATCTGCAGCTGCTGATCAGAAGCAGGCAGCTGTGGCCGCCCCTGTGGAGAGGAAGAGATTCGGGAGTTACGTGCCCCCTGGAAACATCCCACAGAGCCCCACCCTGTGAGCGCTAATGTGGTGTTTTTGACTCTGACTCTGACACTCATTCTGTTACAGACTCTGACACCCATTCTGTTTCTGACTCTGATACTGACACCGATTCTGTTACAGACTCTGATACTGACACCGATTCTGTTACAGACTCTGATACTCATTCTGTTACAGACTCTGATACTCATTCTGTAACAGACTCTGATACTCATTCTGTTACAGACTCTGATACTCATTCTGTTACAGACTCTGATACTCATTCTGTTACAGACTCTGATACTCATTCTGTATCTGACTCTGATACTGACACACATTCTGTTACTCTGATTCTGTTACTAACACTAACTCTGACTCCGATACTCATTCTGTTTCTCATACTAATAAGGTTTATGTTACCGATACCAATACTGTGACACTGTTACTTCTCAATACCGATATTTTTTGTTCCTGCTGCTGTTTCTGATTGCAGCTCTGACACTGATGCTGACGGCAAGACGATTTCTAACACCCGTACTGAACTGCTAGCGCTTGTGGTCCTGCTGAGACTGTGCTAATACTGATACTGTTACTGGAAACAATCCCAGTATTATATCGCTAACACTGATATGCTCACGTGCTGATATAGATCCTTTAACACTTGCTGACCGTGCATTGCTGTCTTCACTAATCTTCACCCCTCCTCTTCCTCTCTAAAGCCATATCCCGTCTCCCCTCAGCCCCACGGACAACGGAGCGATCTCACTGAAGGATGCGCACCTGAGCAGCACCGGTGAGGGAGGGAGTGGGAGAGGGGGATGAGAGAGGGAGATGGGTGGAGGGGGCTCAGGAGGAAGGGAAGAGGGAGGGAGGTGGAATTTCATTGGAAATCAACGTGTTCTGAGCCACACTGGTAAAGTAGTGTTCGCATTTTCACTTTCTCTGAGAGTCGGCTGAGATCTTAGCTAGTTGCTTTTTTCCTTGCAGACAGAGACAAGGACAGCCTGCTGGACGGGAGGGGCGGGGCCTCGTGGGCATCTCTTCTCGCAGCCAATGGCATTGATCCCATCACTCTAGGACAAGCCTCCGAGGAGAAGTTAGCCAATGGGGCTCTGGATGAAGGTAGAATGACTGATTCGTCATTCTTTGGTTCTGTAGACTCCTTACTGTATATCACTCTGTCCTCCTCTCTCAGTGCAGTGTTAGTGTACTGGAGTGTCCAGTCAGTGTGTCTGTATTAACTCCTCTCTCTCAGTGCAGTGTTAATGTACTGGAGTGTCCAGTCAGTGTGTCTGTAT